AGTTAGCCCATCGTGACAAAATCACCAGGAATTAATATAATGATAGTTTCCAGAGGGAGAGAACCGCTTGGAGGTCAAGCTAACTTAGTACATTGCTAGCAATGGAGTAATAAGTTCACGTTACCAAGAATCCCCTTCCCCCTGTGGAACTTTGGTTCTATTTATTGTATTTCACAAAGTTTGTAATCTATTTTTTTCAGCTAAATGGTAGTCTCTATATTTTCTAAGAAATAAAAGTGCATGTCTCTTTGAATAAATACATATTGGTACAAAATTTTGATGTTAACTTGAGTTATGACTTGACTCGGTTTATCTACAATTAATAGTAATATTGACCCTGGGCTATTCATACATCGCTATCTAAAGTAACAATAAATAAATAAAAATAGTTCCAAGTTAAGCACAGCTTATGTTATGGATACTAGACAATTGATATAAACACTTTTTTTGTGAATATACATAGAAAATACCCAAACCAATAAAAACGAACATAGTTATGAATTGAAATGTTTCTATCGTGCGAGAAATCGAACCCGGGACCCTCAGTAAAGCGGTGTACTAAATCATTAGACCACTGAAGCTGTTAATTGTCAAATACTTAAATAAAAAATAGATACATACTTAAGAATAAAAAAATTCAGTATGTTTCAGTGAACGTAAAACCAAATGCAATGAGAAAAACGTTATTCAATAAAACTCACTGAAACTCATATTCGCCATTATTCTACCCTTAAAACGAATACACATTGACACATTCGCACAGAGCCATTTGCGTCGTTTTTTTTTTATACGCACTGCCAAAGAGAACACACTTCCGGTTATCGTGTTCCCGGAGAAATAAAACCTGGACTCTTCAAGTCAATGATGAATGGAACCTTTTGAATATTCGCACCACATCCTAGGTCTCGCAATCATTTCTCACCAGATCAGATTCGTACCTGAAGTCAAGCGCAATTCATAATAAAAAACATTTCGTTATAATTCTGGTCACTTTTAGTACAGATATCAAGTTATTTAGGTATTTGGACACCAAACGTAGTTTTTAATCTAAATTCACTCCAACTTTTTTTATATACATAACTGTGTAATTGAAAAATGAAAAGTTTTATTACGCTGTAAATAATAAAGCGACAGTCCAACTCTGCAATAACTTTTAATGACCATTTAGAAAGTTTTAAAATAAAGTGTCGCCTGCATTACGTAGCTACGTTCCTTTAGTGAACAAAGACACAGAAATTAAAAAGGGGAATGTAGGTACGTGTGTGTATCAGTTTTGTTTCACATATTACTTCATGTTTATTTCCTTTTTCACAGGATTCTGTATTTAAAAATTTTTAGACACAACTACTACTCAAATTATATGTAATGATTAAAGATTGAAAATTACAAAAAAAATTGAAGATGACACTGTGTGAATTTTCCCGAGATACTGTTATTATAATATTAAGTACAGAAATATGGACACGGAACCTCAGTATGTTATTCCGACTTACTCTTCGCTGATCTTATAGTTGTAGAACTCACTTTATTAGAACTGGCAACATTTAGCGGTTTTACTGGCGTGGAAGTGATCATAGCCATAAAGATTCTACCACTTCATTTGAGTGGGCGAGACGGATTTCTTTCGACGTCTCCGAATGTACTAGTTTAATGTGAAATAACCTGACCTTTTAAACGAGAATGACCATTGATTTAAGTAACTAAAGTACAAAGTCGTCTGCAGAGGTACTTCTGTGTCACCTTTTTGAACTGCCAAGCTAGCTTACTTTATAAGCTATGTTTTGGTTCAACGCTGATATAGCAGTGTACGCAGGATTGACCGAAGAACTAAGGTATCATACCTTAGTTACACATTGATACACATTGACTACCTCGGTGGTCTAGCGGTCTAGCGATATGCTGTGCTTTACGTCCGATGCTCGTGGGTTCGATTCCTCGCACGACACAAACATTTTTATTCATGAATATGATTGTTTGTATCGGTCTGGGTGTTTTCTATGTATAATATGTATGTATTTATGTTAAAAAAATTATCTATGTATTTGTATCAGTTATCTAGTACCCATAACACAAGCTTTAGCTAGGTTAATTTGAGTCTAGATGGCGCTGTGTGAATTGTCCTGAGATTATTATTATTAGTCCTTCGGTCAATAGGCGACACCTGGCAACATGACGACGAAAACACCATTCCATTATCATTCCTTAAAACTACCATGATTTGAATAGTGTGGAAAAAGATTTGCTGATGGTAAATGAGACAACATGCCATAAAAATTTAAGTAAAGTAAGTAAAGTTCAAGTAAGTAGTATGTTTAAATAAATATCTTATTAATATTATAAATGCGAAAGTTTGTGAGTATGGTTGGATGTTTGTGACTCTTTCACGCAGAAACTATTGAATAGATTATGTTGAAAATTTACAGTGATATAGCTGTTATATCAGAATAACACATAGGCTATAAATTTCATGGGGGTGATGCCGCGGGCACAGCTAGTATAATATAATTATAAGAGAACATTTCTAAGCCCATACAAATCCTTTGGACGGCTGAACGCCATCTCAATTTCACTCATAATCTTGGATTTCGATGTACTTTGCATAAAACTCCTACTTTACCTTACCTTTATCATTCCTTCGTATCCGAATAAACTTATATTTGATTTCCTACCTTTTTCTTAAATAAAGATACAATTTGCAATTCTAATATTGGTATGATCCGTTTCGTGACTTGTAGCGCTGATAAAAATCACAATTTATATTTATTTCCGTATCCGCGCAATGTGTTCTGGAAAATCATAGCGTAACTCGACCGGTATTTTTAAATAAATAACTCTAGTTTATATGTAATGTTTCTATTATCTAATCCCAAACTAAGTAGAGTTTTAAGTAGGTACTAATTGATAGTAATCGTTTGTAGGACATCTTTAAATACTTATTTATCTTGTTAAATTACTTGAAAATACACTAATAAGTGCACAAATATTTTAATTGTGCGTGAACCAAACCCAAAACCACCTGAAAGTAAAACAGAGTGTTAGTAAGGTACACTACCATGGTTAATAGTCCTAATGTTATGTCTGGAAATGAACATGTGGGTGTCAGAATTCTAATATAATAAAATATATCTAGTATATAATTATATTAAACTTGAGGCAAAAACTTTGTAACCCTTTCTGCGAAAATGGATCGCACCAAGAAGTATGTAACTTCGCACTATTATCAAATAACCATAATAAATATATTATTACAATACAGTTATTTGTGAAACATCTACTGCTCCCTCAATATACATATAAAATCTACCACAATTAGAACCTTAATAATGTTCATACTTATAATTTAAATGAATTAATGTCGAATTTTGGCCACTGTGCGACCACTAGTCAGATCAGTTCTATTCAAACTGGCAAATTATACGCTGAAGAATCCTGGATGACAATTCGAGGGGTGGTGAATGTAAATTGAACACCGTTTTCCTCAGTTAACCTTTTTTTTATGTATGCAGTAGTTAGGGTATGTTCGGTAGGCACTGCTTTGCATTGTAGGATTACGTGAACGATAATTTCTTTAACCCTGAACAACCTCGACAAAGTCAAACGAGAATACTATCCATAGCACCTATAACGTGCCTACATACACATATGTCTTTTAAAAGGATCTGTGCCCGTTAGTATTCTTAGAATTATTTAAAGTTTTAGTGTAGGTAGTAGCAGATGGAATATTATAGTATCTGTGACATAAATTTGTTAATTTATAATGAATTTTCGAAAACAAAATACAATATCTCTTTTTATTTCGTTTTTTGACTGCCAGTTACTTTATTGTCTTACAGACAAACCCTGCATATTGGTATATAATATTATTTTATCTGTGGTATTGGGTTCATGAATAAAAGCAGAACGTATTTAACACATTATCGTCTCACTACTGGGAATGGGTTCTTATGATAGAAAATTTAATGTATAATAACAAAAAAAAATTATGGTAAACTAACAACTAGGTAGGTACTTTAGTCTAATCTACATATAAGATTTTAATAGTTTATGATGCCAGTGACATTTACGAAAGCTTCATAAAACTTACTAACTGACCCTGGCTTAAGAAGTTGCGGAAACTTACACAATGAATCCTAGAGGAAGTTTGTTACATAATACCTACTTGACTTGTTGAAATGTTTGATGACATAACGCATCTTATTATGAGTATAATGTTCATCATTGTATTTCAATGTAGGTACGTAACCCAATTTTATAGCAATTTCATTTAATTCGACTTACAAGTTTACAGATATGATATATCTACGTTAGTGCTACTAGTGCCTTCAGCTATAATTTAAGATATCGGTTCGCCTGATCATCATCAATGGTTTAATCTTAATGACTGATTGATTGGAAATATTTGGAAGGATTATGACTGTTTGTATTGGCCTGTGTAATTTTTGTATTTGATATAGGCATGTAGAATAGGTAAAATTATGCTTAGGGTGATAAAATACAAGTGGAATGCATTATGGAAAACCACCATCCAACAGTGGATACAAAGGCTAAAATGCAAAAGGCAATTGTACCTACTACTTTGTGTGAGCCGATTAATAACTATTAAAAAAATTAGGAATATCTATTTAAGACAAGATACATCGAATTAGTATTTAAACGCTAACAAAAAATAACCGATGAGAGATAAATTCCATAATTTTAAACTATTTGGATATGATAATTTGTTATTGATTCGGCCAATTGAGCAAGTAATCACTATGATATTCGAATAAAGCTTCTCTGTATTCACCACCCTTGAAAAGTATTGGTATAATATATACATGTAATACATATAAAATATACAGTACTCGTAAATAAATATACTAGTTTTTAACAAACAATGTATAAATAAATATATATTTTTTATTATTGTCGTATTCAAAGCCGTAACTTAACAAACATGACATGTGCATATGGTCTGTTTTATTGTTTGATCTGTGGGCTTTTTGTCTATGATCATATCACATGACCCCTTTATTTGTCCCCGTGATCAATTTTAGGAAATTCAAAAATAATTACGCGCAATGGCTAATGTCGAAATTAAAGTTGACATACAAGAAAGTTCTCTTGATAACAGGTAAACCACAGCTTTCATTATTGTATCATGATAATTATATTATATAATTACAGGTTCGTACGAAGGTCATTGGTTAATAATTTTGCAACTTGGCAAACGTTATAGTGGTTTGTTTCCTGAATTTCTTTTTATTCAAGTATAATATTGTGATTATTATTTTATATATTTACAGCGCCGACAGCGAATACATTTCCATGGTAGATGATCATGAGGAACATTGCGGTAAGTAAACAAAATATCATGCTTGAACAACTATGAGTATAACAACACATCAGTATAATTATATTAAGTTAAATTTAATTACTGTTTCCAGATGCAGACGAAAGATCTCAATTAGCATCACAATCATTCTTGGATACAAACGAAAATAATTCCTACAACTTCAGAGATCTGTGTATGTACTTGCATATAAGTTACTTAAATATTTTGATCTAGGTATAACATTATCCTTTCAGATAAGTAATATTGTGGGAAGTAATTACCAACTTTACTTTATTGTTTATAATCTGTAGTAAAAAAAAGTTCAGTATAAAATATAAAAATTAGAATCTTTTTAATTTTTTTTTCATTTTCAAAACAAACATTATTATGAATATAATGGTAAACTTGAAGTGCTGAATTGTTATCTTTTCTTGTCTCAGTCATATTGCTTCACATATTTGTGTGCTAAAATATTGAAAAAAATTAATACATGATTTAAAATAGAGTGTTCTATATTCAAAAACACAAAATAAGTACTCACTAAGAAACCAAATGTTGTATTTTTTTTATGTAATTGGAAAGATGGCTATTAAGCATGGTCCTTGTAAGAATCCACTGTATTATATTATTAAAGTTTAATGTTTTCCAGCTGGCAATGTGACATACAAATTTGTCCAAATGGCAGGAGAAGAACAAACTAATAATATAAATTCCCATTCTCCATCACACAGTAAGTATGCTCTTTTATATTTATTTAACGTTTTTTGTCATTAGTTATTTTATTTTCTTAAATGTTAAATGTCTTGGTACCTAAATATCTAAGACTTGAAACACTTATTTAAATTTTGTATGTCTACTAATAATATAATATGTACATTTCAGATGCTGAATACTATGTTATAAGCAATCCTATTGAAGTATTTGGGACACCCACACAGAAAAAAGGCAATCATAGGGACCCATTGCAAACCAAAGCTGTAACTGCAAAAAAGGTGATAAATGACTTTCTTATTTGAATTTATTGCATTAGAATATTGTTTTTCCTGCTGTGCCGTAGTTTAGTCTAAAGACTATATTGAGAAGTATTAGTCATAAACTCAACTGTATTTCACATGTGTGAGAACTTTTGCCATCCACCTTTGTGCATGCATGCATGCATGCAATTCAGGCAATTGTACATTTTATTTATGTAATTATATAATAAATGTAAATAAAGTCATTAGATTTGTCCTATATAGAAATAGTCAATGCTATATGATAGCATTAAATTTTTTTAAAGGCCTGGGCAAAAGTATATTCTGTGTTACACTAATATGTCTCTTATTGTTATTTCAGCGAGATGACAAAAGGCGAGCGACACACAATGAAGTGGAGAGACGACGTCGGGACAAAATCAATAGTTGGATCACAAAACTGGCAGCCCTTGTGCCAAACTCTGGCCTGCCGGACTCGGCCAGCAAGGGGGGAATATTAGCAAAGGCCTGCGACTATATATCAGATTTAACAGAAAGACAAAAGATGTATGTATTAATATACACTACCTTGGTGATCTAGCAGTTCACAGTACTTTACTTCTGAAAGTCGCGGGTTCAGCTTAACTTGGAACTGGATGGCGCCGTATGAATTGTCCAGGGTTATTATTTATGTAGCTAATTATTGTTTGTAGTATTACAAAATTAAATCATTCATACTTTTCTTATTATAGTAGTATATAGTATATCAGTTGTATAATACAACTGATATAATAATTTCTGTTTTACAATTATGGAATAAAAAAAAACTTTATTTTCAGCTTGGAAAAACTGGAAGTGAAAAACGAGAAATTAGTGCTAGAAATTATAAGACTCAACCAAGAATTAACAGAAGCGCGTAAAGAAAACGCGTCTATGCGCAACCAGCTGGCCGACAACTGCATAGTTGTATCACAGAGGCCGAAAGGCGAGAAGTCTTAGTTCATGCTAAGATGTCACCCGTGTGGTACATGAACTATAGTGCTTGTATACAAACAAAGGTGCTGATATATAAGACTGTGACATTCCCATAACGTCACAGTATTGTCAAATGTTATTACGAACTTGTGTGTAGTTCATTTGTAATTCATAAAGGGATTAACACACGGAGTTTAGCAGTGAAGTGAATACGGATGCAGCAAACGTTCGAAAACCCGATCAATAGTGCGGCGCCGCATAATATGTCCAGTGGAATGGTATTTATTAACTCTAAATATTAAATAATGAAGAAAACTTTAGTTATATATGCCTGGCATATTGAACATGTGAAAAATATATATGTAAGTCTGGGGAACCGAAATAAAAAAACTTCATGTTACGAATTTAATTTAGTTAAATATAATAAGATTTACGGATCTCTTAGGAAACCGTTCGTGTCGTATTCCTTCTAGCGTTCAATCCATTCATTCTCTGGTCATTTCTCGTTGTGTTCCCATTTCAGACATAACATTTACTACAGTTCCGTTACATACCATAGACTAGTTTGTTTAATTTTACATCTGTAACCCTAATTACATAATGGCATTTGTTTTACGGAATAAAATATGCATTCACAAGAAAAAGTTATCGCAACTAATTTCGAAGTGTAAATGGGAAGCGAAAGCGTTAATGTTTACAAGGTCGACATTTCAATATTGTAGATCTTTTTTTGTTTAATGCAATAGTTTTACACGGTCGGTTGAAGCTATAGAAACTAATTCGACGTAATTCTAATTAAGTTATATATTCTATTCTTTTTTTTTATGGCCATGACTGTATAGCGTCGCATAATATTGTGAAGCTCCGTGTGTTAGATGCCTAATTATAGTACATATGGTTTTATCATGAGAAAAGCACTTGTTAAGCCGGTAATGAGGTTAATCATTAAGTAGAGATTACTTCAGTTGTATTTTGAGATGTTGTAAGAAAAAACTCTACCCATCTTGGTACTGGACATGCGTGAATGAGTGTCCATAAGCAAATAATAAATCTTGTTTGTATTTATTGCTTTGTATGATACATTTGTGTTATTGTAAACAAAATGCAAATAGAAAAGCCCTATAATTTGGCCTAAATGCTTTGTAAATAAATTGGGCTATTTGATGGCCGCTGATACACAGTCGATTGTCGTCAGGTTTCCTGAACGACGCTCCGACTGTATAACATTAGCCTAAAACATTATTTTTGTTTCAGGAAATGTTTATCGAAAAATAATAAATTCATATATGTTTGAACGGCATACAGCAATTTATTATATGATTTGAGAATATTAATATTTTTTGTTATGTTGTAATAACTGAAATAAAATTTTACTTTTTATGATGTTATATCAGTTAAGAATTGATGTAGAACAAAATTAGGCACTAAATGATTTTATATAAATCAGCCTTAACTATGTTACTGTAGTTTTGTAAATGTGTTATTGTCTTTTTTAAGTGTTCCGTATGTATTGTATTAATATTATTTAATGTCGTTTGTATTTTTGTACATCGACACCCGATGTACAGTCAGTTTCATAAAGCTATTTGGTGACAAGGTATTCAAAATGATACAAAAATTTCAATTCAATTAAATACTTTTAATTAAAACTCAGTATTTTGGTATCACGCAGTCACGCCGTGATCCTGTGTTCAAAATTAGAACACATACAAAATAATATAGTACATAAAAGAATGAAAGAAAACATACTTTCATTGATGATTTATAATTTTGTTCAATATGTAGAATATAAAGAAATGTCATGTGTATATATATTTTTTCAATATTAAATTAAAGCAAATTTATTCTACAGTTATTCTGTTAGATGATAAGGTATGATTTGATATATTATTATTATATTGTTACATACTATGATATATAAATGCAGCTGACTGTACAAAGCGTAACAAAGGGTTAACAATCTAAAATACAAAGTAATATTTATAAAAGTGGATTGAAACTTTATATTGGAATATATGTTTCATAAGATTGTAAATTAATATTTCGATTGCAAATTTCAATTCATGTAATAAATTTAAAAGCTTATACATTCTTGTTATACTGATTACTCCACACTCTAAGATGAGTGACAGACAACTGATAAATCAGAATAATTAACATTCAAATAGAGGCTTACTGTTATGCTCTAATAACAAAATAATCAGTTCAAGCGGGAAATAGTATGTAACACAATTGCAGTATTCATTATGTGTTTTTTTATCGCAATTTTTGTATAACATGTAACTTTAAGATCCAGTAACATGTACATTTGCAATTTTATACGACTAGTTAGCAGAATAATTATAGACAATAAAGCTAAAATTCACTAAACAGTAACTAAGGTACAGTAATTTCTATGTTTTAGGGCATTCTACTTAAACATGAGAGTACCTTATATGTATTTATACATAGTTCAAATTAATAACAGCAATTGAAATGTATAAATATATAAATAAGGAGATTGGAAATGAAATAAATGGAATCATTATACATATATATTGATGGCTCTGGTATGAAGATGATGTAGTAACTAACACTAAAGGAATGTAGTTATCACTTATTGGAATGTTTTAAGATCACTTACTTCACACATTTTATAATGAAAGGTAAACAAAAAGCTGTTTTAATATAGAAAATATTTCACCTTGGTTGCATTACAAAATCCACAATAAATATAGTAAATTCAACAAACTCCATACATTGTAAGTATTGTAAATTGTAAGTAGATAGTTATAATTAAGAGTTATTTGTTTTATTTGTATACAATCGGTTTATTGCATTTAAACTTCATTACTAGGACATATATACAGACTGCTTCATAAAGTTATTAATGATATATGCTCAATAATATGGAAGCATTTTCTCTATTGTATTTATCATATTGTAAAGCAACGAATGAATCAAAATACATAAATACAGATCGTACATTGTAAACTTGGATAAAAATATCCAATATCTTATTGAAAATTGTATTGCAAAGATATTATCGCCCGCTTTGAATTGTTAAAACATTCAAAACTTATATAGAACTTCATTTGTAAAAGTTATGTATAAATTTCATAATTCTGATTGAGCATTACGACGCTATAATGATATATCAATGATAATATAATCTATATGAAGCTGACTGTACATGCATTCAACACGAGAGACTTTTCTTCCAAAAATGGTACTTTATTGTTTGCTTGTATAAAATACCTTTTCTTAAATTATTATTTATGAAAGTTAAACTTTATATCCAATATCTTCCATAATTAAGGAATAATGTAATGAGACAATGCAAAATGTAGATATCATGCAATAGTTGATAATGTGCTACAGAATTATAAATATCTCACGTGTTGAATATTTTATATATTTTTTGTGTCTATTATGTATAGTTTCTGTGTAATAAAACATCTGTTTACAAATCTTTGTAAATTTACAAGAATATCGATTAATTGTGTTGTTTTTATTTTTTTATTTGGCTCCAAACTTTAAATATAATCAGGTGTTGTTGACATGCAGTCTTTTTTTTAAATTTCTTCATTTATAGGCAAAGATGCCTTAAGTTCCATATACACTAATCCTAGATTAAGTAATCAGAAGCATTATCTACTGTTGTCACCTTTATGGTGGAGGCACCTTTGATAACACTTTAATACATTGTAGAAGTCTCCTAATGATATTCCAAAGTACGTATTACTGCATATTTGGTTATTCCGTGTTTAATTTTCCAGTTTTAATACAAAACTTGGTAATTGCTGCCTTTAGACGTACGCTCTTTCACGCGCAAATATGCTTTCACACAAGTAAAAATGTGTATGGAAATGTAGAGGAAGAGAATGAAAAAGTCACTCTCTACTATTACTGTTTTAATTGATTCTTCTGTTTCTCCTATTTCCGTTTTAATCGGTTATTCGGTCTCCTCTATTTCCGTTTTAATCGGTTCTTCCGCTTCTCCTATTTCCGTTTTAATTGGTTCTTCCGCTTCTCCTATTTCCGTTTTAATTGGTTCTTCCATCTCTTCTGTTTCCGTTTTAATTTGTTCTTCTGTCTCTACTATTACTGTTTTAATTGGATCTTCCGTTTCTTCTATTTCTGTTTTAATTGGTTCTTCCATTTCTTCTATTTCCGTTTTAATTTGTTCTTCTGTCACTACTATTACTGTTTTAATTGGATCTTCCGTTTCTTCTATTTCTGTTTTAATTGGTTCTTCCATTTCTTCTATTTCCGTTTTAATTTGTTCTTCTGTCTCTACTATTACTGTTTTAATCTGTTATTCCGTCTCCTCTATTTCCGTTTTAATTGGTTCTTCCATCTCTTCTGTTTCCGTTTTAATTGATAAGCATTTCTTGTTTTTTATATGGTTTATAAAATTTTTACGTTTCACATATATCTTTTGGCATAACAAACATTCAAAATATCCTTTTTTACTACTTTTCTTCATTTCTTGTAATCTAAGAAATCGTTTTATACATCTTAAATTCTTTATATGGGTTACCATGGATTCTTTTTTAACGAATTTCCTGTGGCAATGGTCACATTCAAATGATTTTTCACCTGAAAGGATATAATAATGAATAAATAAACTAAAAAAAATAATGACCTAAAACGACGTAGTCAATTTAGTTTGTTTACAAAGCAAGATGCTTCCGTGTTTGTTGAAGATTGAAATACAGATGTTGCGAACATCTTCGCGAATATCTAGCAATGCACTATGCCATGTTCCCCTGAAAACCATCATGATAAATTTGTCACCATAGGCTAACTGACCTGAGCTCATCTTCATCTTATCCTCCACTAGTGCCCTGCCAACGTATACCGTTATTTAGATATACCAGTGCAGGCGGGTGCACCATTCTATCATCATTACTTAAAAAATATACACAACCGATACAAACAATCATACAAATAAAAATAACTGTTTGAACCATGCGTGGAATCGAACCCGCGATACAGAAGTAAAGCGGTATGTCAGCGACTAAACACCCAAGGCCGTCAGCTCTGTACTTACCTAAATGAAACTTGACGTGTGCGATGAGAGTTGTCCGGCGGTTAAAGCTCAGCGAACAGTAAGTGCACTTGAATGGTTGCTCGCCAGTGTGTTTTCTGCACATATAAATATATATGTAGATAAATCAAAAGTGGCAATTCCAGTAGCAAACCATCGATTGACAAAACGCCTACTGAATCTAAATGAAAATAATGATAGGGATAATAACGGGCCACTGTCCCTTAAACAAACATTTGTACACAATAGGTGCTACAGACAGTCCACCTTGTCGGAGCTGCTTTGAAGCCGAAGATAGGGCCGCTCACGTAACAGTGCGTGCATAGCTGTGGCCACACAACGAAAACAAATAATCGAAACGGTAGGTCGCTCGCAAAGCCTGTGACGACGCCAGCAGACTTTTGCGCTTTTGGGAGGAGCTTGGCTGGCTACTTTAGTAGTCTCGGCTCTACAACCAGTTGGGGATTGTTAGTAATGTGGACTCATGACCCATTACTAGCAATGTACCATGTCAGATTGACCTCCACGCGGTTAATCCATCCAATTAAACCATCGTGATAAATTTCTGATGAATTTGTCACTATTGGCTAACTGACCTGACCTCATGCTCATCCTATCATCCTCCACTGGTGCCCCGCCAGCGTAAACCGTTAGCGCAGGCGGGTGCAACATTCACTTTATCATTCATAAAAAAAAATCACCAGGGCCGGCGGAAAAAGGCATGCAACGCATGCGGAGCATGCGGGCGCCTCGTCGAAGGGAGGGCCATCACGAGATTCAGATATATACTATAATTTTATTAAAATATAGAATCTATAGAATACTTAATAAATTAATAAATAATCTAACTTAACTATGAATTCAGAGACAAACCGCGTTAGGATAAAAATTGCATGCGGGCGCTGAGGACCCTAGCTCCGGCCCTGCTTCCAACGGTCCAGTTGAGAGGATTGCGGAAAATGGAGTTCAACCTATATTACATTACATATGTAGTTATAGATAATATTAATATAATATCTCTTTATTAAATAGTATTTTACAAAGTAAGGTAATGTAACCTAATTCTTTCTTTTTCTCCTGGTCACATCGACACACGATGCACACACACACATTATATTTATATGTACAAACACACTTACGCACACAGAAATCCTAGTGTCTATAGTAATAATTACCTCATTCAACCTACTATACCATTTGCGCTGTAGCATGGTGAATGTTTCATCAAAGTTTCGTTTCACTCTTAAAAGTAGCCGCGATTTACAAACTGTAACTTAGTATTTCAACTGTACCACATTCGTAATATATTAAATCATTAATTACTGTATTAACTTGAATGTAGCAATTGTTAAATGTAAAACTAACTGTCACCATGCTACAGTGCACACAGTACACATATACCGTTTTAATATAAGAGACTGGTAAATTATATCAGAGATATTTTAGAATTAGTTACTATTGTTATACTTAGGTAGAATGAACTACCTGCCGAGGTTTTCTCGAGACTACTTCATGGAGTTTTTCAAAAACCTTAATAGGATATACCCTATTAAGATTTCTGAAAAACTCCATAAGGTTTCTTAAGGGTCAGCAACGCGCACGTGACATCCCTGTTTATGGCGTCCATAGACTACGGTAACTATTTACCATTAGATAGGCCGCAAGCTTGTTTGCCACTATCGTCGTATATAGTATAAAATATCATCATAGTAATAAAATCAGTAACTCTTTTCTGGTGACTCAAACCACACAAATAAACATGCGTGCGTGTTTGTCACCTACAAGCAAATTGTGATATAAAATTTCACATACCTCATATGAATGGTATACTCTGATTTCGTGACGAACCCTTTCTTACACTCATCACAACTGGCGACGTACTTTTTGTTATGCCGTCGCATATGCACCCTATAGTTACTGTTGGTCGATAGCTTGACTCCACATATAGTACAACAGTATTCCTGAAAAAAAAAACTAGTTCTTAAAAGCTACTTCATTTGGTTTTTATAGATAAACGATGGCCTCTGTCCAATTTCGGCATACAATTTATCTTCATATTGTAGCGCAGTGGTATCCACTTCACCACCCACGACTTCGTCCGCGTGGAATGTAACTTTATTTTTCTAAAATAAAGTAGCCTAAAGTTACTCCTCATTACATCAGCTATCTGGCAAAAAAAAGTCCCGTCAAAATTAGTCCAGCCATTTCAGAGATTAGCCGGAACAAACAGGCGGATGCCTACGTCATAACATCTACCTGCGTACCAAATATCAGCCCGATCCGTCCAGTGGTTTGGGCTGTGCGTTGATAGATCACTACGTCAGTCACCTTTGAGTTATATATATTTAGATGCATGTAGTAAAAAACGGTTATTTCAATATTACAAACAGACACTTCAATCTTATTTACATGTATAGATGTACATTCAATAGTAAGAGAATAAACAGTATAATTAGAGGTATGCAGGTACAAATGAGGGGGATGTAAATGCGAGGTATGTCAAGCAGTTTCTACTATATAGGTTATATCGACTATTATCAACTAACCTTTTCAAATTTTGGCTCGGTAAGATACGATCCTTTGTGGCGAGCCCGATGTACTCGAAGAATAGCTTCAGAAGGAAATGGTAGCTTACACACGTCACAACGAAACTCCTCGCGTGGCTCCTGAAAACACAATTACATAGAATAATTTCCTATAGCCCAGTATTTCAAGCATAAACGAAATATCTCCTTTGGAAAGTTTACACTCTTTCCCGAGGAGATAAAAACGATCGCTCCTAAGAATATCCTTCAATTCTTGTCCCTGACGGGTATAGGTAGCGAACTCTGAAAAGGGCGAGCACAATAGATCTATGTAGGTCGCAGTGCTACAGGTGCTACACATCTGACAATAGCCCAAACGACCCAATAAAAAAAAATATATAGCCCAGTATTTCTCAACTATTTATAGTACCACCTTAGCCTTTCTAAAGTTCTTATAATTATCATTGCAAAATGGCGGACATTTACCATTACCGACTATTTATATACTTACTAGATGTACCGCGTTTTCCATGTTAAATTTCAATATAAAATATAGCCTATGTTTTATTCTGATGTATAAGCTATATTACTGTAAAGTTTCATCAAAATCCATTCAGAAATTTTCGCGTGAAAGAGTAACAATAATCCATACTTACAAACATTCGCGTTTATTTTGAATATTAAATTTATAGATCTATAACGTGTCTTTGCAAAAAAATTTGTGGATATAAAACAAAGTTTTAAAAGTAAAATGAAGCGCGAAAGAGTAAACACAGAAAAGTAAAAATCAATCACTTACAATTGCTTGCGCTGGAGCTTTCCCGCGCTAAATGGCGTGCGCTTCTGATTGCACTTGAAAGAATGTGTCGTATAAAAGTAGCTTATTATCTCCATGCGATACATTTCCTTCTATTGAACACAATTATGGTTGGATATACCTATATATACTGTCTTTAGCAGTAAATTAATTATACAAATGACTACAAATATTAATCTAACGAACTTACCATATGCGACTTCAAGTGATTAAGAAAATTTTTATAACTTCTATATTCCTTACTACAGTAATCACATGCTTTTTTAAACATTGGCTTTATTGCTTTTTTGCGAGGAATCTTGTTTTGATGAAATTTAGCGAAATGTATCTTTAATCCTGATATATTTACATATTGCTTTTTACATAACTTACAATAACAATCGTCAAGGTTGTATTGACTTTCATTGTCAATATTCTTTTTCTTTGCTTTCTTTATATTTACATTATTCAGAAAACTCTTGTTAACTTCCGTTACTTTGCTGTCTATTCTATTTTGAAAATCATATTCATCTGTAGCCTTATTAAAGAAATCATCTAATAGACTAATATCACCATCTATATTCTGAAACTTTTCAATACATTTTCCAGCTTTGTGCACATAATCGTTACTGTCGTCGTACAATTGTTTTTTTGCATTAAATATTATATTATCTATTGTTGGGGTAGACGGCGCATAAGACCCAGGAAAGACTGAAAATTTTATAAAAATATTTGTACTATAAACTACTTAAATTCATGATGCACAATATAATTTTCTCAACAAACCCAATTTACCTGTAGGAGATGCAAGCAAGTCTTCCAAAGAAATTTCAGTTTTACCAATATTCTTTAAAGCCTTCTCTAAATTTCTGTCAATAGTGCACTGCGCTTTTCCTATTTTATTGTGTTGACTGATATTTTCCTCAAGTAAACCATGATTTATCGCAATATTATTCTCATAATTTATCATGTCATTAGGCATATAATATTTTTTACCATGTCCAATAGTATCATCTATATTAATATTCAAACCGACATGTTCAATTTCAATATCACAGTTAATATTTTCAGGCGGTTCTAACAATGCGTCTATCATGGGTACATTATTCTGAACATGATCAAAATCATCAAAATCATTTTCGTCATCATAATTTGAATCAAAATTAATATCTACGTTATTTTTTGTTTGACTAGATTGCTTTGCATTTTTAGAGTAAATATTTTCCATTTCATCATCAGATTGCATATTTACAGAGTAGAAGTTATTTTCCAGTTTTGTGTCAAACTCTTGATTTCCGTTTGTTTGTTTTGTTCCATTATTTTCCAGAGTTACAGTTTTGTTAATATTATTTTCATGATTATTAGTAACTTTATTTGAGTTCAATATTTTTTTGCTTATAGAAGGTACATACTTATGAGATGGTAGATCAGATAGTCTCTTTGGTGTATAGCAATGATCTCTATTCACTGAGTGTGGTGTTGAAAATGGGCTAAAACTGTAATATTTACTAAATATATTTAACAATTCACATGCATTTATTAACTAATTAATAGTTTTCTTATAACAGAACAGTAAAATGTAATTGATAAATTAAAATTGTTCCACAGTTTCATCGTTTGGAAAATTAATATAATTATATGTATATTTTAATGTTTATTGTACAGTACTTAATTCTTTTTCACTTGATATAGAATTATTGTTACCTAAAATCTATTGCAAAATCAGGGTCAATAGATATGTCATCTTGAAGCCAATGAGAGTCAAGTGAGTCATCCAGAACATCTGCTTCCTCCTCAATGACTTGTTTAATGATTCTAGCCTCTGTATCCGGCATTTCCTCACCCTGCAGAATGTCAGTCATGAAATTTCCAATACTTGTGCATGTCGATGCTAAAAGTAAATATTTTGATTTATAATACTACAACACAATAGTTGTAGTATGGGGTGGGTATTTTTGGTACTAGTACCCCATTGCTAATGATGTATCATGTCAATCTCCAGACGGTCCTCTTAGACGGCGTCATGTTTAATTTTTAGTAAATTGATCACAGTGAGCTGACTGACTTGATTTCATGCACAAATTATGATCCAAAGCAATAAATGTATAAATAGGGACCAAGTAATGATTCTGGACATAAAAATATAATACATATCAGACCATAGCCATTTAATGGTTGTCTCAAGATGTGTCTTAATATTGCGCAGATCATGGCATTAAGCAATGATCTGCGCAATATCAAGACACATCTAGTTAGACTTAATGAAATGGATGGACTAGGTATTTTAATAATACTATTGTACATTATGTAAATTACAGAGAGTACCCCAACCTTAGAAAATAAGACTTATTATTATTGTTATTACATACCATTATCATCATCTTTTCTATGATTTGCAGGTGTATTATTGCCACTCATCAATGGAAATCTGAAAATTAGAACATAAAACACAATATAAAAATACTTTCTAAGCAATTTGAAAATCTGGTACGTAAAATATAAAATTTGTAATACATTAAGGTTTTCTTTTCTGAGTTCCTAACTAAAAGGAAAACCTACGCCACTGTAATATAGTGTAAATTGGATTCAACAATCTCCATTAGCATTGGGCCGTTATGTGTGTTGAGCTAAGACTACTACAGTAGTTTGCAAAACTCCTCTCAGACGCCATCAAATATCTTTACAGACTTCAGGAACGGTGAGGTTGTCTATGGGATGGCACAGTCGCTCTGTGAAGCCTGTGAAAACAGGACAACAAGAAGTCTTCTATGCTTCTGGGAGGAGCTTGGCTGGCTACTTTTCCAGTCTCGTCTCTACATATACAATGGCTCAGATGAGAGGTTGATTGTGGAGAAATTAGTCCAATTTTTATTACATTATTCTTAAAATAATACTAACCTCAACATCATATTCTCATCATGGTTTCTAAGAAAGGAGGCCATATCAACTGTATCATCTGCATCTTTTGATAATAAATAATATTGAAATTTCTTATCTGAACTTCTACATTGTTTCTTGAATTTACAGGACTGTTTCATATTAATGTAGCAGTCTTTGCATAATTGGAAAATGAAGGAATCATTACGTTTCACCTGTAAATAACAATAAACATATAACAACTTGTTTATAAGTTGTGACTGGAGTCATGACAATGTAATGTAAATGTAAATATACCCATGGAATTGCAACATTTGAATTTGAATTTGAATTTATTTGTTGCTGGAGCAAAATATCATCTACAATACAGGCTCGGCCCAGATTAGTTACTAGTAGTAAATTCACTGAAATGCAAACATATGAGAATAATACTACTGGAACTAGGTAAACTTGGTTCAATAAAATTTATTATTATTATTAAATTATATTTATTATTGACAAAACCAAATATACTCCTCTGTGTCCTATGCAGTTAGTTTCCTTTAAATCAAATACCTTATTACAGTTAGTGTTTCATGATTGTTATTGATTATTATTTATTTAAACCAAATAAAATAATTTATTATTGTTAATCATGCACATATTAAATGTTAATAATACCTTATTGTACAATAAAACTTAGTATAAAAAGATATTATGAACTTATAAAATAAGCATTAAATTAGTATTACCTGCAAGCCAGTGGAATAGACGAAAAGCCTCCTGTTCTTTTCAGTATACTGCACAAGTTCTGCAGAATCACTGTATTGTGCAAGGCATCCTCTACATACTGCTTCCATTGTTATGTGTATAACTAGACCTAATACTGTACACAATTAATCTAAACAGCGAGCCTGTAAAAAGTTTCAAAATAAGATACCTCTATTTATTACAATTTTTTTATTACTTACTATTTGTGCCTACGGTTTTCAAATTTATAGTCTATGCGTTTTTCTGATGTACAAGTTATATATTGTAAAGTTTCATTAAGATTAGGATTTGCGTGAAAGAGTAACAAAAATCCATTCATCCATCTACACATATATACTTCCATGTTTATAATAAATAAGATAATAGTAGTACTTATTAATTATAGTTTTGTTAAAAGTTCTTAACAGTTCCAAGTACAGATCCTCAGCATTTTTTAAAATATATGGTTAAAATAATACGCCACTTCATGTGGCATTATGAACTTAATATTATTATTATTGAAAGAAACATGGAAAGAAAGAGGGGTAATGGAAGATTCGACAGTAATATCAGGCTTCAGAAAAATGTAAGAGTATCAACAATTAAAGAGAAATTATTAAAAGTGATAAGAGATCTACCGACAACAGCGAGGCTAAATTATACTAAATTATGAATGTATGAAGACATTTTATAGGAATATTTCAATAATATATACATTAACGTGAATTTAGCTTTAAATTATTCCTATTTTAAGTATAATTACAAACAACATATAAATGTTTATAACTGTAACATTAAAAACTTACAATTAAACCCAAAATATAACCAAATCACAATAAATAAAATATAAATGTGTAGTACGCAAGAAACTGTACATAAAATTCCACATAATATCCCATTAAATGAAACCTTTTTATTTAATTCTATAAAATAAATACGAATAATACTTTACACGAAATTAAAAACAGTACATTCAAAGATAAGGTTTAATTCTTACTTTTAATGATCTGTGGACTGCGGGACTGCTATAGACAAATATTTTTTATATTTTTACAGTGGCTTTGGCAATGATTAAAACGAGGTCGCACCGACCACTGCCACCGATGAGATCCCGACAAAATGATTTTTGTTCTCGTATTATGATATAATATATACTTCTGATATTTATCAAATTTTTACTGAAATAGTTTCACCACTATTACATAATAATAATTACAATTCTAGACAATTCCCAGTATAATATAATCCTAAGCTAAGCAGAGTTGAGTTATACAGATAGAAATACTTAAATACATTTTATTTTGTCAACACATACCTAAGCTATAACGAAAACCGTTAGACTAACACAAATAATCATACTTAAGATTACAAACTTTTTTATCGTGCAAGCGAATATTGACACCAATCACGTAAATCTTACTTAGCTTAATATTGTAAACAACTGTTATTGAATTTATTTTATATGGTAATAAATTTATTTTAGATGGTTTCCAATAGTTTCGACTAAATGAGTACTGTAATATCTATAATTATCTGTCTAACCTGTCTTGACATGCTGTGTTGACATGTCTACTGACAGCATATATCAATGTTCAGTGGTTAACAGTTGACAGATTGACTACGTAAATAAACAATGACTAAAGTTTATTTTTGTTACAATAACTAAATTTACAAAATGGAAAACAGTGAGGAAATAAACACCAATACTCATGTGGAAGTAACTATTAACAAGCCCAGTAAAGTTATATATTTCAGTGATGGGGTTGAAGAAGTGATAGACGAAGTAACTGTGAGTGATTTGAATAGTACGTCTTCAGAAGAAGAAGCAGTTGACCCTGTAAGTACAGATTTCTATTGTTTTGTATGACTTCATTAATTTGCATTCTTCATAGATTTTACTAAATGGTGTAGGCATTTAAAGTCCTTTATGCTTTGTTCAATAGTTTCTATGTAATAGGAGAAATACGTTTAATAGCGGACATAAGACGTGAATTGAATGAAACTAGAAGTTGTACTTGTTTATCACGTATTAAGTACAATATAAATCGAAGAAAACATTTGTTATGTGATACTAACTAGTCTTTAATTCGGTTATGGTTATAATTGCCTACTTTTTTGTATGGATTTAAATTCAACATGCAGTATTTCATAGACCCAGAATTTTTGAATTTTTTTTTATAACTAGTGACCCTGTGTTATTGTTGTGGGGATCTTTAATGTTTTTGAAAATAAAATGCAGTTCATGTCAGTCATAACAGGATATTAAGGTTGTATACATCTATAATTTTTTGCCATTCTTTTATTAACAGAAATTCAAAGCTTTTGTCTTTATATTATTAATTTAGATACTTAATGGATACATACTATATATATCATAATAATTTCAGGAACTACAAAAATACTGTCTTGCCATTTTCATCCTTAATCAATAGATTGAATGATTTATGAGAAAGGTTTAGCTGTAGAATTTATTCAGGTTTTACTTATTTGAAATACACTTACAAAGGTGGGGTGGGGTACTAGTATATTATAATTATTTAAAAAACATTAATATGTTTTAGAAACAATTGGATTGGGGTCCCTGGTTTTCCCACTATGCCTGGAAATCTGGGACAAAAGTACTGAAAGCAGTGGACTATGCTGGGGAGTCATTGGCAGATTTCTTTGGTATCACATCACCTAAATACCAGATAGAGGTAAATGAATATGAAAGAATCAAGGAAGAGAAAAGAAAGCTTGACGAGCAATCAGCTGGCTGGGTACCAAAGAATGCAGGAGGTGATGTACCATTAGTCATGCAGGAACCAGTGAGAGATGTACATAAACCTACAACCTCTTAATTTTTATTTGGAATTATTTATTTAATATATAATATTTTATTTAATAATTATATTTTGTTTGCATTGTTCAACAGCTGTAGTCCACATACATGGATACATGCATTAATTTTTACAGGTGTATATAGACTATGGTAACATTTTACCATAAGTTGGCCTTTATGCTTATTTGCGACCATCATGACATTAAATAAATATATATGAAATAAATATGTTAATGGAAATAATTAGGAAGAGTCTTAAAGTGTATGGGAATAAAATTTATTTTATTTAAACTTACATCACTAATACCATAGTTATTAGCTTTTCTTTCTAATAACTACACTAATAATAACACCAAATAAACACATCTCATGTACTTGATGTCGACACTAAGTGCACATTAATAATTTCTTTTTTATACAAACATTACAACTGTCTGCTGTAATGACATATATATAAGTATGACTGACAAAAAGTTAATAGAATAGATTAAACATTTATAAATAAATTATTTTGTATCAGTAGATACTTTTCAAATAATAAATGCAATATTCTCCCAAAATATCTATATTATTTGATATGATTAATTATTTTTGTTACTTATATTGATTGTGATAATCAAATATACATTTGATTATTAATATTTACATGATCTATGTTTTTTTATACATCCCTATGCAACCAGTAGCTTTTCTATGATTTTTGTATTAAGTCCTTCAATTTGCTCTCAATTTTTCAAATTATTATTTAGAAAGTGCATACAAATAAATACAAAAAGTGATGTTATATGCAGTTAAAATCTGCAGGATGTGGATGTGTTACCATAATTTCTATTTAGTGAGTCTTATATGACAATTTTTTATTCTAACTGTATGTCAAATGATAATTTTTTATTGTAATGTGTGACATAAATAATATAAAAAGAAAAATGAATTTATCTTAATTTAAGTTTGAGAACATACATGTCCACTCTTCTCACAGTTTTTTTTATTATTAATATTTAGTGATGAATTGAATTAAATATTTTGTAACCTTTGATTATAATAATTTATTAAAGGTTTTATTTTGTATACAATATTTCTTATCATTTTGAGCATGCATATGATATTATATATACCTATAAATAACCAAACTTCACGCTCATATTATCCTCCACTGGTTTACCGCCAGCATAAATCATTACCACAGGCAAGTGTACAATTCCGTTATCATCTATAAAAATGGTAGAAAATAGGTCACTATTATCTTATCTGTGGGTAACAAACAAAACTAAAATACTGTAATTATACAGTGACATCTCGTGAGTAGTAGCTGTCATTATCTGGATGACATAAAAGCATAGACATTACGGCGTGGACTTACCTACGAATTGTTTTGTTGCGTGATCGGTAGATGGCAGAACTAATATCATAAACGTTAAATTTTCAAATTTAATTTGTTTCTAAAGGGAGTTGCTTATCCTTGAGTTGTTATGTTTAATATCCGTTAGATGGCAGCACTAACATGAATTATATTTTTGAATCGTTTCTTCACAAAATGTTGAAATCCAAATATCTGATTTAGTAATTTAATTGGTATTTGTATATTTTAGCTCATCAATCAGACTAAAGAAAATGCGTTTTACTAATATAGAGAGAAATACTAGCTAATAATCCGCATTATAATATTAAAATATTATCATTACTGTGTTATTTTATAAACTATGGCTATAGGGGGACTTCATGGAGATTACCCTAGCAAGATTATTAGCAATGGCTGATGGTTCCCATTACTAATAATCCCCTTTCCCTACAATACATTTTACTGTTGCATAGTCAAACATCGAAATCAATCGTGACATATATATGTGTTCAATCATCAAAGTTATTTAAGCTTTGCAAAGCTTAAATAACTAAGCATTTAAACGACAAGGTTAAAGCGAGATCTCAGACGAGCTTTCAAGCGAGATTTTACTGAACAGTGTGTTTGTGTGTGTGAGAGAGAGAGTGAGAGAGAGCAATGAGGTGCTGGAAATTATATTTAAATGCACGTGGTCACCTTGGGTTATTCCATTTTAAGTGTCCCTTTGCCTTTGACGTTGTCAGGACACGGCTACACGACTAACTATGGTTTCAAGTCTACGCGAATTATTACAAACTAATATACACTTTACTTGTACACGTTAAAGTTCACAATAGAGTTTTTGTTAAAGATTTATAGATTAGGTACACCCCAGTGAAGACGTGACACGTTGTAAGCGCTCACAATGCTGATAATGAAATTGTGTCTTTATTGTGTACCCATAGAGTTAAAAGTTGAATGGATTGTTCTCATATGTTATTGTTTGCCGGTGTTTAGCATGTGATATGTCGAAATGTAAACGGTTCGAGCTGTGTCCGCAGATCAATATGCGTGTTGCGCGAGGGTGTATAGAGACGTGCGATTGGCCGTCGTATGTGGGGCGTGGCTCGTGTGTGAGTCGGCGCTCGCTCGCACGCACAAACCAGATTTTGGCGCGAAATCAACATTATTCCATTTTCAAATTCTCAAAGGACCATAGTTACGCATCTATGCCTAAGCTGATTGTTGTTTTTCAATTTGAAATGTAGGCAGGCTATGGATCGTATATCATACAGCTTATTCTTCGGCAGAGCTTAAGCTGAATTATAAATTGATAGACAGTAACATATCCTTCAGAATTGTAATTTCTTCTGTAACTGGAATGGCATACAGACTAACGGTCCACCTGATGTAAAGTTGCAACCTTTACTAACATAAGGACCTACTACTATGTACAACACGCTTTCTTCTATTCTTCATGCACTGTTATTTGTAAGAACTAAGGTTACACAGTATTCTGTCACTGCCATACCTATTTCACACACACTAACACTTTAAATGATAGTCAGGTTGATATTTTACAAAATAAACTGATTGACGGGCAAAATGACTGAGACAAAGGTAACGTACGTAAACGACTTTGTACAAAGTCATCCCGGAATAAATGTAGTCTTATCCACTTACCTAAGAAGTTATGTCACCTACTTACGTTTAAATTGAACAATACGACTATCTCCAAAAATAAATTTACGGCTCGTTTCAAAAAATGAATTATGTTCATTTGCAACAAAATATATGACAAATGCTGTAATTATTAAATAATTCAATATTTCGTTAACAGCACAGGTCATTCCGGACAATATGGCACGACACAATGGCCACCAGTTTTGGCAGTATGCTGCAATTTCCCCGGCGTCCTTACCCTTTTATTAAAAAAAATATTGCAAATTATAAAAAGGCGCGTGTTCACAAACCCGTTCCATGGATAGGCAAATGAACAAGTATTACTGGTTTGCTGGAATGGTGAACGCATTATAAATTTTTGCGTGCATTTGCCAAACATAATGATTTTCTATGGAGTGTATTGTTTGTGCTAGTTTTCGCTAGTTCACGGTGTTTGAATGTAAATAGAAATTTTGTTACAATTTAGAATAACCGAAGGGAATTAATAGCACGCGTCTTATATTTTGTGTGTTGTTATTTGATCTGTGGCTATTTCTTACATTTGATTACCTAAATAAATACGGGTGCCACAGAGTAATTAATACTACAAACGTTTTAAAAGAGTTGGTATCACTGTTATGAAATTTAAAGCAATATCTAATCTAAAAAGAAACTTACTTAGTTTCGTAGATAAATTAATTTGTTTTGAATAAATTTACATGAAACAATTGCTACGCTAAAAATATGGTATCACAAATTTATAGAAAAAGTATTTATTAAAGCCGCTAGGCTAACCTAACCTAACCTTCCCACTTACCTAGTTTATGTAACTTCAATAATTTACCTTAACTAGGTAAGTGGGTAGTAGATATAATTTATGTATGAAACTATGCATATATTATAACTTTGAGGACTTTGTCTTCATAAAAATAGTACCAACTATCACTTACTATGTAGGTAGTGTTTATTTGTTAAGTAGATAGCCTTAGCCAGCCCGCTTACCAGCAAATCAAATAATCAATAGAAAATCTAGATCATTTATCAACATAATGTTTTTTTTATAGCATAAGGTATTTTATTTAGGTATTATTATTAAATACATAAGACCCGGTATTCTATAGTTAATCCAAAGAGCAGATGTTCTATTTTTAATTTAGCATGCATTTGCAATGTTGTTTATTAAAAAAAAATCTTTTGTGGCTATTTAAAAAGTAAAACTTCGCTTTCAATGCGCCATGCAAATTAGATGAAATCATAAACTAGAACACCATAACTGCAGACAAAGATAAGACTAATTTGAACTCTATATATATTGCATAAAATATTACTTTTAAATGCGAGATCGGTTGTTGCAAATATTTTATTGTTGTCCAAATTGGGATTGTATTATGGACTTTAAAAGTATTTCGCATAGGACTGAGAATCGAATACGAAGAATAGTGATTAGGAGTGAACAAAATTTGCATAAGAGCGACGCCGCACACCTTTGCATTTGATCCGTTCGATGCAATTTGACTGACAGTTCTGAGTTGTAAAAAGGAAGTCGTGTATAATATGTTTATATTATTATTTATTATTATATAGGTACCTACAATTCTGAGTAGGGAAATACTTAAAAGAATTATTTTTATTTTTAACTTTTTTTTTGTGTAGACAGCCACATACATGTATCATATAATGTATTGTAAAATTTAATTAAAATCCATTCAGCAGTTTTCTTGAAAGAGTAACAAACATCCACACTCACAAACTTCCACGTTAAGATACAACTTATTAGTTTATACACATATAAATTGCAACTAATTATTGAATTTACGATTTGGTTTCAACTGTATGATCTACCATGCTGTCCCACAGTTCCACCTGTTAAAATTTGAAATTTGTGTTATTATTTATGTGTTATTCTGATGTGCAAAAATACTGAACGGATTTTGATGAAATTTTACAGTAACGGAAGCTTCATTACTTTAAAATTTCATTAATATCCGTTTAGTATTTTTTGCGCGAAAAGCAAACATCCATTTATCCATTCTCACAAACTTTCGCGTTTACAATATAGTTTGTTTAGAAATTGTTTATAACCACCTCCGTTTACGCTGGGAGGCAACAGTGGAGGATGATAAGATGTGCATGAGGTGAGGTCAGTTACCACATTGTGGCAAATTTATCACGACGGTTTCCAGGGAGAACCGCGTGGAAGTCAACTTGACTTGGGGTCATTACTACTCATTGCATATGTATTATATATATAAATATGTGTGCAGTTTTATGACTATATATACCTACAGTAATAGTTAATGTTTTGTGGATGTAAATTTTGTTTGCAACTGTACTTACTTATAGGTGAGGGGTACTTCCGGGCCGTTATAAAAATAATTGTTAACCATTTGGAAGGGGTGGCTTGTATGCAAAATAGTTTAGGGAAATATTTTGTTTGGATTTCAATTTTGCATTTTTTAGTTTTTGCGTATATAAATGTAAATGGAGAAAATGTTTTTACATGAGAGTTTTTATTTATAAAAAACATATAAATATATTGTATATAAAATTAATTATGACATTATAGAGTTATATGTAATAAATCCTTATCTTATGAAATACCTATGTTCTATGTTCAAAATGAATCTATTTTTGTAACTGTATGAAGAGAAGATAGAA